ATTGCATTTTTCGGAGTTTTGGCGGACCTATAAATTATAGTTGCGATGAAAAGATGGTTAAATAAAGAATTGGGTATTATTATTAGGAATCTTCTGCAGATAAACAGAGTTTTCTGGTAGAAAAATATTGATTTGTTGAACTGTTCTATACCATTTCTACGAAAAGTTGTTGCTTCCCATATAAAATACATGGAAAACTTTAGGCGCTTTGAGCGACCTCTAAATACTTTTTGATTTCAAAATAAAAAATAAGGGTCTATTTTTTCGGTATAGAACAATCCTAGGTGGTGAGAGCATAAAAACTCCGATTTTACTTTTTCACATGCATTTTTGGACCTCCTTAATGTACGTACCTACATATGTACATATACTTTGCAGCTGTTTTGCTTATTATGAGTGCAAAAGCCATAGTAGCAAGTATTTGTTCGACGCACAACCTCTTCGTTTTCATCGGCAATATAGTACATACAGTGACTCATAAAAGTGATTACTTACGTGCTAATTTTTTTTAATATTCAGTCTTCAAGTTACTTAAATTTTTTATTTGTCTATAAAAATAGTTTGCAACCTTTAACCAAAATCATTTAAATCAAAATTTCTCAATTTATGCAAAGTTTAGGACAATTCAATAAATATTTATTAAAATTTCAAACGCTTTATAGTTTATACAATTTCACTCTAATGAAGTGCAAGTTTCAACCGGTTAACAAACTGGGTTGATTTGAAAAAAAATATCTGACAGATTTTTGCACTTTACCCATATAAACACAAATTTCTTATGAAATAAAATGTGGAAGACTATTCACCACAAAGTTTTAAAGAATCAACGCCAGTTTTTATAGATTACACTTGTTATATAGAAGAAAAACCGCAAAAGCCCCCGCAAACAAAAAATATTAAAAATCTACTAGACTTAAATTGTATGGCCTGACCTACATGAAAACTGTAAACGTTTCAGAGATTTGGATTAAACAGTTTGATATTTTGATAAAATTTGTTTAATTTTCCAAAAAAAAAATGTTGAAACTTTGATATACAGTCAGTCAATAAAGTTTAGGTACAGCGAATTTTTTACAATACCGGCAACAATTTTTTAATATTTTATTTTCCGCTAATTTTTTATAAAAATATGGTTATTTCTACAACAAAAAACCCCAAAACCAGAGCTCCAAACCTTGTAAAAAATTAAAGAAAATTCCGCCAAATTTCATTCAAATATTGCCCTTTTTATTTACACTCTTTAGAAAAAAGTTGAGTACGCATTTTTTAGCCCATTCTATATTAGCAAGTGCAAGTTTGAGGTAGCTAGGACTTTGATTTTTAACAATTTTTTTTGCTGAAGGTGTCGCTCATTTTCCCCATATAAAATAATGTTCGATAATTTTTTTATATGGAAAAAAATGTGCGACACCTTCAACAAAAAAAATTCCAGAAATCAGCGGTAAATCCTGGCTTCCTCATACTTGCACTTTATTACACTAAAATTGAATGAGCTAAAAAACTGCATACTCACCTTTTTTCTAGAGAGCGCAAAAGTGCAATATTTGAATGAAATTTTGCGGAATTTTATTTAATTTTGCACAAGGTTTGGAACTCTGATTTTTGGGGTTTTAGTTGTAGTATTAACCATATTTTTATAAAAAATTTTGCGAAAAATAAAATATTTAAAAAATAGTTGCCCGTA